CATGTAATTGTTGGAGACATTTAGTTTTGTTTGCTTTTGAGTTTGGTCGAAGGTTGGATCTATGTGGCCAAAACAAAAAGATAGAGTATTCGATTCAAGGCATCAAGTTAAAGACAAAATCCATAGGCCATACTACATGATCTTGCTTTGCAGGCCTCAAGCTTGTGTTTCACTCCATAATCAACTGTTTATACAATGAATTAAGCTATTACCCAAGTGTTTAAACTATTGTCCAAAAAGGTCTTTCCATGTATGGCACAAAGTTATCATTGCCATTTCAGAAAAGCAGGCTTTATGCAAATTGTCAATGCATTGAGCCTTGTAATCTTTATCTCTGATTGCAAGTAACATCAAAAGCATGAGTCAAGTCTCTTGAAAACATCAAGCCTCACTTGTACTTGAACTTGGGAACCATGAAAATTCATTTAACTTGTTTTTTTCATTTTCAACCAAACCATAGTTTGTTATCTTAAAAATCTGGTTACTCCAACATCTCTAACCTTTTCTTTGTAAATATAGAGACCATTTGCAAATCAAAGGGGCCAGACTCTTGTTGTGTTGAAAACATCTTCAAACACTCTCAAACTTTCAAAAACTCAAAACCTACAAACAAACATAAAGCTAAGCATAAAACTTGGCACATCCTGACTCCACACACAAAAATCTCAAATCCCTTCATACGTTAGCGAGTCTTTTGATTCACCACCTAACTTCCATATATCAGCTTTCGTTTCACCCCCTAGCTTCCATATACCATCCTTGGAACACTCTCAAAGCCTTCAGAAAACCCACTCAAGGAAGTTAGTGAGCCCCTTCGATTCACTCTTAACTTCCATATACCAACATTCGATTCAGTGACTTTCAAAACAAAGCACCAATTGAAATAGCTTCAAGGAGGTCGAAGCAGGCTTAGTCCATCATCAAACTATTCTTGGAGGTTCCGTCGAAGTCCCTCAAGTCTTAATCAAAGAGGTAAGTTTTCTAAAACTTATAACTCTTTATTCAAACATCTTTTGTATATACATTGTAAAGAAAAAATGTAGACGTCATGTCTAGGAAGCTAACCATGGCCATAGTTTTGATTATCATTGCTTGTACATTAAATTTTTCATCTATGAACAACTAGGTCTTAGTTTTGGTGTTTCATGCTAACTTTTGACCCATAGCTTTTTAAAAGTCATATGGTTAGATTCGTTTTAAGATCTTGCGCAGGTTTGATGTTTAGAGTCTTTTCGATTTGGCTGAAAAATGAAGCCTTTCGAAGCTCAAACAGTGGAGTCATGCATCCATGCGCTCGAAGGAATAAAATGAATCCATGTTTAAACATTCAGAACTGAATTTATTTTATATCTAGTGCAAGCTGTATAACCAACAAATGAAATAGACCATCCAGTGGTACTAACAACATGACGAAAGACATTTCTGTGTAAGGTCCTTGGGTTCAATCCCCAGCGAGTCCTTTTGTACATTTTTCATATCTTCTCACTCTGTCTTGTTTGCAGGAAGCATACATAGGCCTCTACAGTTGGGCTTCAACCTTTTATGTTTCTGATCCCCTGTTTACTAACAAATAAACAGACTCTGGGCCCAAGCATAAAACTGTTTTTCTACACACAAAAAAAGTTTTAAATACAAAAAAAAAACTATTTTCTACACAAAAACACCAAAAATATATTTAAATTATTTAGTTTATTTTATTTAACTTCTTACAATGAAAAAGACCAAAAATATTTTCCTATTTATTTTCTTTCCTTTAACTTAATTAAATTTCCTTAACAAAATCAAAAACAATTTCATTTTCTTTTCATTCATGTCTTATGCATTATTTTCCTTTTAATTCTTGTACATTATTCAAATTCGATATGGTTGTAATAGATAATTAGGATTTAATTTCTTGTAATCCCCATTTATAAATTTATACACCTCATCCCCAAATGATGTAATAGTGTAGTAAATTTACTTTATGCAATTTATCGCTTTCAGATAAAATGCTAGTAACTTAGGGTTTGTATGGAAAAAATAAAATCAATGCTTAGAAAATACTAATCTAAGATAAACCAAGCATGAAAAACAAACACTTGCACATCTAGGATTAACTATGCTTGTTGCCTTAGAAAATAGTCATGTCCCTCGAATATGGGCATTTTAGCAAAGACCCTCGATAAAAAGATCGTAGTCCCTCGATGTTGCCTTCGGTAAACAATCTAGTCCCTAATGAAAATTGCTAAAACGTCTCATAAGTTGCCTTCTATGACTATACAATTGACCCACACCCGTCCCTTCACATCCAACGATGGGGTTTCTTACCAAATCAATGGCAAGATACAACATCTAAAGGAGGAGAAAAAGAACATAGACCTTTTGAGTAGGTAGGACACTCATTGTTGCTTGCTCTTAAACTAAAACCATTTCCACACTTACACTTTCAAAACATCTTCAAAAACAAACATCTCTTTGAACTATTTTCAAAACCAACACTTTGTATGCATTCTTATAGAGACGAGAATCATTACAAAGTTAGTCGCAACAAAGGCATTTTGCAAAAATATTTTCAAACTTACACCCATCACAAAACACCTTTTCAAACAAAGCATCTTTTCAAGTGATCTGGCAAGCGACTAAGAGCCCACAGATAATTATGGATGAAAAGGATGCTAACACCTTCCCTTTTCATAATCTACCCTCCGAACTCAAGAAAACATCTCAAAGGTCTTTCCTGTTCTTTTCACCCTTTCCTTATTGGATAAAAGAAAAGTCGGTGACGACTCTTACTATCCGCAATAATTGCGATCAAACGCAAAACAACCAAGTCAGTTCTCCCACCATATTACATTGTGCAATCCATAGATCAAAACCATTCTCAATGATAAAAGACCTTCTTAGCTCCATAAACCAAATTCAGATGAAGAACTAACTGATTTAAACTTGAGCGAAGATGAGAGCCATCAAAGCCACATAAATCCTAATTCAGACAAATGACATCCCCAACTTGAAACCTTAATTCCACGAGGGAGAAACCCTCGAGCAAAGATGAAAAAAAGATAAGCTTCATGACTCTTAATCACAACAGGTGTCGCACACTCAAAAGTCAAAATCCTAGTACAAAACCAGTGGACAGGAGAAACTTTGAGCTTTCGCGAACTCGAACCCTTGACGAATTAATTGACATGTTTGGAAGCCTGAAAAGTTTTGAACATCTTGAAAAACCCTAGAAGAGAATTTTTTAAAGGAAAGAGAGGGCAAATTTTGGGGTACAACAATAATTATTTAAATCGATCCATATCAATTTGAACCAAATTAGTTTGAACTAATCATACTGAAATGAATTAAATTAAATTAGATCAAATTGAACCAATCAAATTTAATATTATCCAAACTAAACCAAATAAAATAACCAATTGAGAGAGGAGTCCAAACATAAGTATCAATATGAAAGAAAGAGAAGAAACCAAATAGAAGAACCGAAAATTAACAGAGATAAAAACAACCAAAGAGAATAACCAATTGGGATAAGAGTAAACAAATATAAGAAGAGAGAGAGAGAGAGAGAGAGAGAGAGAGAGAGAGAGAGAGAGAGATGAGAGAGAGAGAGAGAGAGAGAGAGAGAGAGAGAGAGAGAGAGAGAGAGAGAGAGAGAGAGAGAGAGAGAGAGAGAGAGAGAGAGAGAGAGAGAGAGAGAGAGAGAGAGAGAGAGAGAAACCAAACAAAAGAACCAATAAGAAGGGGAATAACTAATGGAGAAAAAACAACTAATATGGAGAGAGTCAACCGAAGTCATATATAATTCAGTCATGATCTTCATACACGCAAAAATGGGAGACAAACCGAGAACAATTTAGTGATTCAATATGAAACTTTTTCTTTAATAAACTTATCATTATAAAATCAAAACAAACACATTACAAACCTTTTGGAAACTCAATAATGGAAGCAACAATTAGTTTAAGGAGAATCGAGCCAACTCTGATATCATATTAACAATAGAGATAACAAAGTAGAGAAGAGAGGAATATACTAGGGTCTCAATAATATGAATAACATTACTTCTGCAAATAAGGGTTACAAAGAGAATATATAATAATACATAAATAAACTAAACTACTCATAGCCTAAATATATGTATGACCAATTGACGCGTCCTTCGAGCCTTAAAGAGGTCACACTAATTGAATTGACGCGTCCATATAAAATGAGATGCATGTACCAATTGACTCTACTTATTTATTGAATGTGGAGTATATACGCCAATTGAATTTAAGACTACATTTTATTTATTTAAAATATTTAATATTTTATAATATATTGATGAAATTTGGATATTAAAAGAATAATATTGAAAAAGTTGGTTATTGACAAAATATTCTTATTTTTAGTGTTTCTAATTTTTTTAAGGACTAATTCTATCCTATTGCAATTTTATTTTATAATTTGGGTTAAAAGCCCCCTTAACTAAAAACAGAAATTAAAAAATAAGAAAATATTTTTAAAAGTTTTATTAAGGATCCATTTATAATTTGTGTTAAATATATTTTTGTCCTCCTAAATATCACATATTTAATTTTTAATCCTTTTAAAAATTTCCATTAAAGAATAATACTTCTAAAAATAAATATAAAATATCACATATTTAATTTTTAATCCTTTTAAAAATTTCCATTAAAGAATAATACTTCTAAAAATAAATAAAATATTTAGAAAAGACAAAAACATATTTAATTCTTTATAATTATTCTATCGATTTTTATTTTTTATTTCTGGTAAAATGTAATAAAAAAATAAAAAAGGACATGATTGTAATTACAGAAACGAAAACCGGTTGTGGTAGAACAATATTCGGCGAAGATACGGCAGAGATACCAAGAAACCCCACCATGCCGCTAAACGAAAAAAAAAAAAAAAAACAATAAAATGTGTTTTTTCATATAATTGGCAAAGTAGAATTAGAAGAAGCTGATAGATAGCAGCGGCGAACCCCAAACCCACTCTCTTCCAGAAATTTCATGTCCATCTTGCCCTCACAAACCCAATCGGCATCTTCGTCTTCTTCGTCTTTACCAATCCCTAACCCTAATTCACAACATGGAGTTTCAGAAATCGCCTCTTCTCTTTCCCCTCAACTCAACCATGCTCTCGGATCTCTCCAGATCTCCGATTATCCAGGTTCCGTTAAAGCTTTTCCCGTAATTTGAATTTTTGAATGATTTTCTTTCTCTATGTTGTTAGTTACAATGAATCATTTTGTGGTGTATTTGACAGGTCCATCAACTCCAGCTGCAGAAGATTCTGGTAGACCCTCCGAAAAGGTATTTATCTATTGAACTATTGTATTTGTAATTTTAGGATCGTGGCTGAAATGCCTCTTTTGAAGAAACTTATGTCTTATGTTTTGTGTATTTATGTGTTACTTTTGTTTTCTTTGCTTTTAGGTGACGGAGCTAGAGTCTTCAAGTGGTATGAAGGCACCTCAGCGAAACTCTAGATCACATTCTAGGAGTCACTCAGGAAGACGTACAGTTGGACTCTCCCAGTCTGAGGGGATGACGACGGGAACAATTTCTTCTCATAGAAATCAACAGGCTACTGGATCTGTATATTCTCAAGGAAGCACTCCTTTCGGAGGAAGGAAATCTCAGATGGCTAATGGCAATCACTTACTCAACTTTCAGTATGATCCAATATCCCGTTCCCAACAAAGGGGTCCTCCTCCTCCCCCTCCAGCACGAAGGCAGCGGAAGAGAAGACCATACAACAAAGATTTGTTTTTGCAGGCAAATTTCAAATTCATGGTGCTAGATTCGGGAAATTATTCCCCGAGTCAATGGATCCAGATAAAATGTTACAGTGGGAAGATATTATATGTGTGACATATTCGACACCCTCTCCAATTCAGTGTCCAATTTGTCTGGAGCATCCCCTGTGTCCCCAAATAACCTCATGTGGACACATTTTTTGTTTCCCATGTATTTTACAATACTTGATGTTGGGTGAAGAAGATCACAAAGGTGATTGCTGGAAAAGGTGTCCGTTGT